CAAGAATGCACGTGCTACATTTTTATATTCGGCAAGGAAAGATGATGTAATCGGCATGATTGTGTTACGTTATACATACGTGTACATTATATTGTTTTATATTAGCCATTTTTTCCTCAGTTGGCTGACAGCGTTCATGCAAGATGTCTCGAAAATGTGTAAACAATCCAGATCAGTTTTGTTACGTGTGTGGTGATGTGACTTTTGCGTCTCAGAGACGGTCTATTACTCCACTAATAACAAAGGCATATCAGCTTTATTTCGGTTGTAAACTAGGTGATCAAGACAAAAAGTGGGCACCCCACATCTGCTGTAATACATGTGCTGTAATACATCTGAGGAGCTGGTTAAATGGCAAAAAACGGTCTATGCGCTTTGCTGTCCCAATGGTTTGGAGAGAGCCTACAAATCATATTAATGATTGTTACTTTTGCATGGTACCTTGTGTTGGACAAGCCACAGGTATGTCCAAGGAAAAAAATCGGTTATTAACTACCCAAACATACCATCTGCGATGAGACCTGTACCTCACAGTGACGAAAATCCTATTCCAAAACCCCCAGAATCCTACACTTGCGAATCAGAAAACGAATCAGATCATGGCGATCGAGTGATTCGTCAGGAAGAAGATATGCCATCAACGTCAAGAGATCCTGATTTTATACCGAGCACGTCATGCCACCAACCGCACACAATAACACAGTCAGAATTAAGTGATCTTGTAAGAGATTTAGAACTTCCAAAATGTAAGGCAGAGTTACTTGGATCAAGACTGCAGCAGTGGAACTTGTTAGAAGACGATGTTTCGGTATGTGTTTTTCGTAGACGCCACAAAGACTTAGAACCATTTTTCAATATGGAGAATAACTTGGTTTTCTGCAGTAACATTAACGGCTTACTGGCGGCTTTAAATATGAACTATAACCCAGAAGAGTGGAGATTGTTTATAGACAGTTCAACATTGAGTTTAAAGGCAGTGTTATTGCATATTGGAAATATTTTACCATCTCTTCCTGTAGGGTATGCAGTTCACATGAAAGAATCATATGACAATATGAAGTACCTATTGACATGCATAAAATACGATGAGCACCAATGGCATATTTGTGGCGATTTGAAAGTTGTTGCACTTTTACTTGGGCTGCAGCTAGGCTACACGAAGTTTTGATGTTTTTTGTGTGAACGGGACAGTCGGGCAATGGCACTTCATTACACGAGACAAAACTGGCCTGTTCGTCAATTCCTAGAGCCAGGTCAAAAAAATGTACAGCATATGCCATTAGTAGATTCGAAAAAAATTTTATTACCACCACTGCATATTAAGTTGGGCCTAATGAAAAACTTTGTCAAGGCATTAGATAGAGATGGGTCAACATTTCAATACCTGCGTCAGAAATTTCCAAGACTAAGTGAGGCAAAGGTTAAAGAAGGTATTTTTGTTGGTCCACAGATTCGAAATATTTTGAAAGATACATAGTTTGAAAACACTTTAACAGGTATTGAAAAAACTGCTTGGAATGATTTCCGTCTGGTGGTCACTAATTCCTTGGGAAATAGAAAAGCTGACAACTATAAAACCCTTGTCAAAAATATGCTGTCATCGTATCAGAAGATGGGCTGTAATATTTCTCTTAAGATACATTTCCTACACTCACACCTGGACCTTTTTCCTGACAATTGCGGAACCGTAAGTGATGAGCACGGCGAACGTTTTCATCAGGATATTTCAACAATGGAAAAAAGGTACCAGGGAAAGTGGAATCCTTCCATGCTTGCAGACTACTGTTGGACTCTTGGTAGAGATGCTCCAGAAACGATCCATAAAAGAACAGCAAAAAGACAGCGCATATAGTGATTCTTATAAGTATATGAATCTTGTTACTTTTTTTAAAATATCCTTAAAAATAAAAAGTTTTTTTTCTAAACCGCAACTAATTTTTTTATTTCATTGTCATTTTTGGATTGAGCGCCCCAAAATTAACAAAGAAGTGCACTTTTCCCACAAGATACAATTAAAAAACTAAAATTTGTTGTCCAGTGTAACTTTAACTAGAGGCTCAGGTATTGGTGAAATCGAGAGCTGTGGTTACACCGCAAAGTCTTGTTTAACAGTAACATGAGTTGCCACGAATTACTTCAGAATATCAAGCATCACGGAATGCACAGAACGCGACCGCTCCGACGTATACCATATTTCACGAGTATCCATCATGGTAGAATGACAGCTGATTATCTAGTAATATCTCAAAATTCCCCATATCGGCACCGGACACATAATTCTGACGGATCTGTCAACGCCAGGTAGACAGAGCCGTAGTTTTTTTTGTACGCTACAGATTCATTTTGTACTTGCTAACAGCTCTTTTAGTTAGAAAAGTTCATTTGCATACAAAAAACAAAATGGAACAAACAAGTTCTTACCCGATTCAGTATTGCCAACGTTTTTGAAAAGGCTAGTACTCTCCGCCTAGTTGGGTGAGAGCAGTGAGGGGAGTGCCGTTCGACTCGGGGGCGGTCGGGCGTTCCTAGCATTTTTCCTATACTACAACTATTTAAAACTGTAATAACTCATACGCGTGATCAACACGTGATCAGAGCTCGATCCCGGCTTCCTTCCAGTACAGCCGTATAGCGTACGACATATGTCGTTTCTGTGGCTTTGCGGTGGTCAACAGCACAGACAGAGATGGAAATAATGGCTGATTGTTCTCCGCCGGTAGAACCAATGAAATCAAAGACGCGCCTCGACCGGCAGACTCATAGGCGTCGGCAACGCATTGGAACGTGTTTCGTTGAGCGATCGCATATTGTGTGTTTTTATAAGAATTTTTGTGTTATTGTTATTGTTGTGGTTTCTGTGGTTACTGTTTTGGTTATACTTAACCATGGAGAGTACAAATGGCACGAGTGGAAGTACTGAAAGCCAGGGAACAAGTAGACGGCTTCGTAAAGCACTGAAGAGGGACGCGAAAGAAATCGTGCTCAAGGTATTCAATTATCTGAACAGAACTATGTCGCAGGGAGATGCACTCGCGCGTTGTGAAAGTATGACAGGCGTTCCAGAGTGGACCATTCGCAGGGTGGTGCATGAAAAGAAGAAAACTGGAGCTACTACTGATCCAAAGTTTAATTTGAAGGGACGAAAGGCCGTTAAATTGGATGACGATAGCAAAATGGCGTTAAGGCGAACCGTACATTCATTCTTCTTTAAGAATGAGATACCAACCCTCAAGGCTGTGCATGCAGCGATCAAGGAAAATGAAATTATACCCCAAATGAGCGTCGAGGTAATGAGGAAATCCCTGCACGAAATTAATTTTCGTTATGAAACGCGTAATCGGAAGTCAGTATTGATAGAGAGACCTGATTGAATATAGGCGACAAAGCAGAAAAATCTATTATTTGGACGAGACATGGGTAAATGCAGGTCACACAATTAAAAAAACCTGGATAGACAAAAACGTAGTGAGTAACCGACAAGCAAGCATTGAAGGTTTGTCAACAGGTCTTCGTGGACCGTCAGGGAAAGGTCAAAGATTGATCGTAACTCATATTGGTAGCGATAGTGGCTTTTTAGAAGAGTGTGACTTGATTTTCGTCTCTAAGAAAGGAGGTGATTACCATGACGAAATGAATGCCAGCTGCTTCGAGAGCTGGTTTCAAGGGGTGCTTCAGCGAGTTGAGCCCAACTCTGTGATCGTCATGGATAATGCTTCCTACCATAGTCGTCGAGCCGAACGTGTACCGACTATGGGATCTCGAAAAAGTGACATGCAGCAATGGTTGCGTTTGACGATTCATGTGTGAAAGCGGAATTGTATGAAAAAATTAAACAGCACAAACCTGCGAACATTAGTTACGTGACTGATGAGATGGCCCGTCAATGTGGTGTCACTGTGCTGCGGTTACCACCCTCTCTGAACTGAACCCAATAGAGCCCATCTGGGCTCAAGTGAAGGGTTATATTGCGCGCCATAACACAACCTTCAAATTACCAGACGTTAAGGTTTTACTTGAGACTTCCATACAGCTAGTAACGCCCGAAGCTTGGCAGAATGCAATCCGTCATGTTGTGAAGGAAGAAACAAAAATGTGGCAGCTTGACCACCACATCGACACCATCATAGAGCCAGTTATAGTCAATTTCAGCGAGGAAAGCGATAGCGACAGTTTATTACTGTCAGATGTAAGTGGAAGCGACGATGAATAAAGGTAATTCCCAAATTTTTGACTTACAATATGTTTCAAACCACTCTTTATTTTATTAAGCATGTGACAAATCTAGTTCACCCATGTTAAACATTCAAACCCCGCCTATGAACAGCCTACTGGTATAGTTAAGTGATGTTCACGTGAACATCGATGAGTCATTACAGTTTTAGATAGTTATAGTATAGTAGACATTATGGAACAGTTTTGATCGACATCATGAGTCTACCACGGCTGTACAGCGTGAGTTTCATCAGAATCGAGCTCATTTTGTTCATGAGTGATGAAGCTCACTTCCATCTTAATGGCATGGTTAACCAGCAGAATTGCCGTTATTGGGCTAATGAAAATCCGCAACAGTTACTTGAAAGATTGCTGCACACCCCGAAAGTGACGGTTTGGTGAGCTGTATCGCAAACTTGCATCATCGGCCCTTACTTCTTCGAAGACGGTAATGGCAATGCCGTTACCGTTAACTTGGAGTGCTACGTCGAAATGATCACCAACTTCTTTTCACCTGAATTACGACGACCACGTGTGTGGCTCAAACAGGATGGGGTGACCGCCCACGCAGCCAGAGCAACGATGAACGTGGTCGCCTTATTTCCCTCTGGGAGCACCTCAAGGCTCGTGTTTATGAGCACAAGCCTCGAACTATGGTCGAGTTGGAGGAGCCTTTCGCGTGGAAGTCGCCCAAGTTGATACTGCCTACTCTCCATTCTCACAAATCTAATCGTATCCGTATTGCTCGAAATTCAACACCATTCTTTGAACTTGAGTATGAAACTTACCTTCCTGGAACGGGTTCTGTCACCGCAAACCACAACACAATCAGTCTCGTTAGTTACAAACGTGATTTTGTAAGGGTTACTTACACCTTGTGCAAAGGTAGTTTCATTTGATTAGTGCGATAACTTTGACAACCAACATAGCAGAAACATATATTTATATAACTTACCATAAGGCGGTACAATATTAACAATTGTTCTAGGTAAGTTATCTCTTATAAACCTCAAGACTTTGACCAAGTCCTTAGCGTGCATAATCAAAGCATCATAAGGATTCTTCAAATTACAGTTTGCCGTACAGAAGTCATTGTGACCCATCATTATTGTTATCATCTACAACAAATCTTTGTTCAGTGTTGAAAATGTTAAATTATGTTGTCTACACAACCAAGTGAATTTCCTCAGATGATTGAAAATAAGAGGGTCAAAAATAAGGTGCCCAACGCTATAACTTTACCGCGCGTTATTCTAGGCGAAATCTAGAAACACCGTCGTGTTTGTCGGCTCCCCCACCACGCATCCCAACAAGAAGCGCCTACTAGCGACGCTCAATACCGGCCTGACAGCCATGCGCAATGGAGCTCTTCATCGCGATCCATAGACATTCATCGCCAGTTGAGTGAAGTATATGGGAAACGTGTATAATAATAATGATAATAATAGTAATAATAATAATAATGAATCGTCTTTATTTAGGGGGCAACGTTTACCATAATGCTACTTTGCCACTTGACAAAAACAATACAAAAAGCATAAATACATTTGATTGGCCACAAGTTTAAAAATGTAGGAATATAACATATGCAAGTGAAGGCTATTCAATATTTCATGAGTTAAAAGTATAAAATTGTAACAGCTATACAAGACAAATAAATGGAAATATTTTTGTGTGAGGTGACAGATAAATTTTATTAACCAACTTATATACTTCTATTCAAAATAAAATTCTTCATATGTCTTTTAAATTCATCATATGATAGCAATTTTGTGGATCGAGGTATAGCATTGTAAAAAATAATTCTGTTGTAGGTGAAGCATTTACGAAATATACTAAGTGGCATATAAATCCGAACACCCAGTTTAAATGGTTTTATTTTAATAAAATTTTGTACTTAATGAAGCATAATAAGTAAATGATAAAAATTTCAAAATGATTGCACTGCTTTAAAGCCCTTTGACCTTTAATAATGTGTGGATGCACCCTGATGTGCTACGCATTCTCCAACGCGCCTAGGCATGCTTCTGATCAGGTGGTCAATGTCCTCCTGTGGTATCTCATTCCAGGCAACCACCAACTCCTCTCGAAGTGCTTCTAGAGTCTGAGGAGGAAGTTGCAAATTGAGCAATCTCCTACCCATCATATCCCACACGTGCTCAATTGGGGATAAGTCGGGAGATCTTGGTGGCCATGGTAACAATGTGACATCATTATGTTGAAAGAAGTGTATTGTGACTGGTGACTCTTGCAACATGTGGTCGGGCATTATCTTGTTGGAAAGTTGGATCTGCCAGGGTGTCAAGATAGGGTAAAAGATGGGGTTCTAGAACTTCGTGGATATAACGCTGCGCGTTCATGTTACCTCTGATGAAGATTAAAGGTGGCCTGGAACCATAAGCTATAGCACCCCAAACCATAACTCCAACAGTGTGATGAACATGTCTTTCTACAAAAAACTGTGGATTCCTCCTTTCACCACGTCGCCTTCTGACCCTGGCACGACCATCGTGCATGCCTGAACAAAATCGAGACTCGTCACTAAAGACAATACTGTTCCATTCCTGATCCCAGAGTGACCGTTGTCTGCACTAATCAGGGCGATTACGTCGGTGTTCTCGAGTTAAAGGGAGGACCCAGTGTGGCCGATATGAAAACAAGCCAAAACTTCTCATTCGTCGGTAAACACTTCGCATGCCAATAGGTCTTCCGTGTTTTGCAAACCATTCATTTGCAGTGGACCTGGTAGTGGAGAAACGGTCCCTTAAGGCCAATAATCTTAGGCAGCGATCTGCACGGTCTGTTGTTCTACGGCGGCGTCCAGTGCCCCTTGCTTTTTGCGTACGGCCTTCTCGAAGCCATGCCTGACAACACCTAACCACAGTGTCTACACTTCTTTGCACTCTAACTGCAATTGCCCGAAAAGAAAGTCCAGCTTCCCGAAGTCCCACTATACGGCCCCTATCAAACTCACTAAGTTGACGAAATCGTACAGGTCTCCGTACTCTAGGCATCGTAACCGATCGTAAAGGATGTCAAGAACTAAAATCCGCCAACGTTGATTCTTTACTGCGGCTGAAATATTCATTTTTAGAGCGTTAGTGAATTAAAAAAAAGCAGTATAAAAACCGGAATGTCCAACTGATAAGGCTGAAAATTTTTTCACTTGTTATTTACAGTAAGATAAATACATTCACCAACTTTTATTAAAATAAAACCATTTAAACTGGGTGTTCGGATTTGTATGTCACTTAGTATAATAATGTATTGTGAAGGGGCATTGTGAGTGTTTCAATGAATCGAATGTCCCTAGAATGGGTATTGCTTCTAGGTATCAACTTATTTCTCAAAAACGGCGGAATGGATGATAGCAAAAGCCTGTGGGTCTAAGTAACTAAGTGTAGCTCACATAGTTTACTCTTAACCACTTCATGTCTTGGAAAAAAGGGCTGATATGATCATATTTTTTCAAATTATTGATCAACCTACAACATGAGTTTTTGATTTCTTGGAGACGTGCTAGAGATATTGAGTCAAGAAATGGAAGATAAACTAAACCGCAATAACTAATTTTGGACATTACCAAAGATTCACACAATGTTTTTTTAGTTGTAAAGTCAAGAAATTGTTTATTAAGATATAATTGGCGTAAAATTGAAAAACAACTCTTACTGATATTATTTACATGTGGTATAAAATTTTAGACATTTATCTAAAGTTACGCCCAAGTTTCTCACTGACTCACTTACTTCTATAGTTTCACCATTTAATTTTACTTTAAAATTTCTTTTGGGATCGCTGAAAAAATAATGACTTTCGATTTTAAAGGGTTGAACTGAAGGTTATGATTCTTTGCATATATACTAATAGATGTATCTTCATTTGCATCAGATTCAGCATTTTGATTGTTGTGATTATGGAAATGACTGTAGATCTGTGAATCGTCGGCAAATAATTGGATATTACAATATTTAACAACTGCATGGATCAGAAATAAACAAAATTATTAGGAGTGGCCCAAGTACAGACCCTTGAGGCACTCCGGAGGAAATGAGGCACTTTGGAGATAGAACCATGTCAATGTGTGTACCCTTTGATATCGATTTACTAGGAAGCTCTGAATCATTTTGGAGGCAGAATCAGAAAAACCAAAACATTTACACTTGGCTACTAGAAGTCGATGATTTATAGTATCGAATGCCTTAGAGAAATCAAGAAGAACTAATGATGTGATCATCTGTTGCTCCCAGGCTCTAACAATGTTATCAGTTAAGTCTAGTAGGCCACCTGCTAAGGAATCCTCTTTCTAACAAGGTATTTAGGATGTATAAAATGTATAAAAAAGCATAGTTCTAGCATTCTGAATGACACGCCATCACTTTCCAAGGCATTCGATTTCAGAGAACATCGATTTTAAATCAGTCATGACGATTGGTTTAAACTTGAATCGATCACTAGAATAGTGATTCTTTTCATAATGCTCAATCTTCTCTGTACATAAACAAATGGTGTTATTAAAAATGGAACAGAAATAATTATTAATGTCAGTAGGGTTCTTTAAATGTAGAGGAATATCGGTATTGTGTGACTGTTGGATACACTTTGATTTTAAGGATCTATAAAACATTTTTGAATCATTTTGTTGACGGAAGGTTAATAAATATGCTGCTTTTTCATATCTAATTTGACTTAAAGTTGAATTTCTGAGCTCTTTGCAGCGATTCCAGGAATCTTCTGTATTATTAATTTTATACTGATTCAAAGCTTTGTTTCTGTCTTTCATCATACGTTTAAGCTGGGATGATAGCCAGGGTGCATGCGGTTTATTTACACGTACAATTCTTAGAGTTGTATGCTTATCAAAAATGAATTTTAGCCCATCTGTCAAACATGAAATTTGTTGATCAATACTTTCTAAGGAATATAAAATGTTCCAGGGAAATTTTAAAACATCATTTTGAAATGATGAAATACCAAAATTTTTAGTCTCTGAATTAAATGAATTTTTGTTTAGGTTTTTTAGACTGCAAAGTTGTTTCACGAAATACTAAAAAATGATCGGTAAATAGATCCATATCTATGGTCCCAGAATTTGAAACAGACTTGAGGATCATTGATAAATATGGGATCCAGTAGGCTGCTCGAGGTACCAGTTATTCTAGAGGGTTCTATTATAACTTGATGAAATCCATACGCATTAAAACAATTTTCTAATTTGCTGTTTGAACTTAAAAGATTTATATTCATATCTCCAACAACTACAACATAATCAAAGTTGGGTACCAGAAGAGCATTATCAATGGCCTCATCAACATTGTTTTGGGGAGGTCGGTAAATTACCCCAAAGGCAAGAGTTTTACCACATAATTTCAATTTAATCCACTTATTTTCAACACTACAAAAGTAGCCAATATGGTTCTCAATATGTAATTCTTTACAGAGCAACCCATTTCTCAGGTGAATGCCCACTAGAGATTCATCAAGACAAGTAGCTTGAATTTTTTCTTAAATACTTGACTTGACTTGAAAACTCAAGCTTTTAAAAATTTGATATTTGACTTGACTTGATTTTCGGACTGAACTACTTGACTTGATATCAAGTAAAATCAAACTACTTGATATTACTTGGTAGTAGATCTGTGAAATGCGCATCGAAGCGTTAAAATAGGGGATTCACCGAGGTTAAATAGGGATTCACACAGCAAGCAGGCACTCGATGACGACGGACGTGCTCGTGCGATTAGTAGAGCAGCGTTGTTCAAGGATAAAGAATTATTATGTCTGATTTAAGAAGTGATTTGTCAGAAATGGAGTCGGAACCTTTTCAAAGCAGCGGCTCAGAATATATCGTAAATGAAAAAGTGTCAGAATCTGATGACACCGAACCAGAAGAAGAAAGTGCAGGGTCGGTGCCATCAAAGGGAAAACGAGTTAAAGCTAATAAAACGAATAAAATTAAGGATTATTTCATAATCGAGCAGGATCCTAAGAGTAAGAAAACTACTGACAAACAAGGCAAATGTACCCTATGTGTCGTAAAAAATACAGTTTTAAAAATGAAAAACTGTGGAACATCTTCACTAAGGAGGCATTTGCAAGCTAAACACACTAGAGTCTACGAAAACATTTTTGGTAGATCCAGCCCACCTAAATCCGAAGCAGAAGCCTCTGCCAGTTCGAATAGGCGTAGCACAATTACAAATTGGCTTGAGAAGGTAAAAAATTAATAATAATTAGATTTGAGCTGAAACTAAATAGTAAATAATTGTACAGGGTGGGCATTTTATTAGGGGCGTAAGCATACCTCTTCCTCAGAAACTACAGGGTGTAGAAAAGAATAATTATATATAAGATTCTTGGCAATCTAAAAAAATTAAATTACCTATTAGAATTTTATTTATACAGGGTGTCCGAAAAGTGCTGCACCAGAATCCTTCATTTGTTTTTTCCAACTTCATCCATTTTTGAAAAATCTTAAAAAAAACACATAAAGGAATCATGCTAGAAAAAAACAAATGCCTAATTTGGATTGCTTGATCACGAAAACCCCTTAAAAAGTTATTTTTTCCAAAATCCGGATCAGCTCATTTTAAGCCACACTTATAGTTTTATAATGTTTATTATAATCATTATAGGTTCCTTGATTTTAAAAGTCATTCTATATTAAAAAGGTTTAATAAATTATTAATAAATATCGAGGTAGGCGAAATATCAAAATATTAAATAAAAGGCGGCTCTTGAACGGAAAAAATTACAACTTGCGGATAACAATTCTAAAAGTTTTTTAAATATAAGAAGTACTGTCGACTTCTAATTTAGAACCGCTTTTTTATTATATAACATAATTTTTATCTGTTGTTATAATTGTGTAATGATGTCTCATTTAAAATTCTGATTTTGAAGTCGGTGCAGCAGTTTTTGGGCACCCTGCATCAATAAAACTCATCAGAGCATATTTACAAAAATCTATATTGACTTTAAGACATTCTATTCAAAATTGTGGGACATGCTATAAATTTTTATACAGGGCATTTCAAAAAAATTACTTACTTTTTCATTTAAAAGTGGGATATTATGACGTAAACATTCATGCACATATTTTGCAGACCACTAGTTGTTCAGAAAACTTTCAACAAGACAAATTTCAAAAACTACTTGTGGAATATATAGCACAGAAGTATCTCCCTTTCAACTTTTTTGAAGATGCTATAAGTGGAAAAATGTACAAATTCCTAAATCCAAAGGCAACTCTACCTGGTCGGAATCAAATGAAATCTTGGCATTAAAAACATTTGCAGCAGCGCAGCAAACAATTAAGTCATTTTTGAAAACATGTAATTCAAAAATCTCGTTCACAATCGATGGATGGTCTTCTTTTAATATGAAGGGATACTATGGTATTACCGCCCATTTTATCGATAAAAATTGGAAACTTCATTGTATCCTTCTAGATTTTGTGCCAGCACATGGGCAACATACTGGTAATGCAATTGCAAAGCTATTTTTCGAAGTATTACAATTATACGATGTTACAAAATGCATACAAGGTATTACTACCGACAATACAAATAGTAATTTTACGTTCATCAGAGAACTTCGAACGCATATTTCTGAAATCGATACAAAAAATATCCACTTTGTATGTTTTGCACACATCTTAAACTTGGCAGCTAGAGATTTTATGAAAATCCTTGATTCTGAGGTTGAAGAAACCGCCAACATTTTGACAGATATATCAGATGATGATGATGATGACTGCCAAGTTCCGCCCTCTTCTGTAAGGAAAATCCATTCCCTTGCTAAAAAATTAAAAAACTCTGAACATTTACGTGAAGATTTTGAAAAATTTTGCACCACGTTAAACCTGAAATTTACTATGCCAAAACTTGATGTCATAACAAGGTGGAACTCCACGTTAGACATGTTGAGATGGAGTCTAAATATGAGAAACGCACTTAACATCCTTTGTGATAATGTAGAAAATTTAAAAACTTTAAAGCCAACCGACACAGAATGGTCGTTAATTGAACGAATTTGCCAGTACCTTAATGTTTTTAAGAGTATTTCCATAATTTTAGAAAGTGAATCATATGCTACTTTACCCATGGTAATAATCGGCATTAATATGTTGCTGGATAGACTAGAATCGTGGGCTATGGTACTTGACAATAAACCTGATCGAGATGAAATCGATGAAAAGATTATAAATAGTATTCAAGCGGCAAGGGACAAAATCATTAGACATTACGAACGGACTAACTGGATGTACTGTGTTGTCCTGATTTTAGACCCCCGACATAAAGTGGATACATTCTCCAATACAAGTTGGGGAAAAGAGTTGCAGATAGAAGCAATTAAACATTTTGAAGATATTTTTAAAGCACAATATTTTAGGGCTAACTCTCTGCAAATTTCTGAACCATCACTTCAAGTAGCAGCATCTTCAAACCCTAGTAAAGATAGTAGTGTCGAAAAGTTTGAAATAGATCTACTAAGTTTGTTTAATAGAAAACCTGCCCATAATGCAGACGACGATATGTCCTGGCGTTACGAAATCGACAAATATATTTCTGACCCAAGAGCTGACAGTACTGAAGATATTTTAGAATGGTGGAAGAGACACGAATGCATTTTTCCAAACCTTGCCGCAATGGCCAAAGACTTTTTGGCAACGCCAGCTTCTTCAGCTCCAGTTGAAAGGCAGTTTTCTAGAGCTACCTTAACTCTTACCAAAACAAGAAATCGATTAGGCGATAACTCCGTTAGAAGCCTTTTGTGTCTCAAATCATGGATGGCAAATGAGGATATTAAAGATTTATTTTAGATATTCATTTTCATGTTTGTTGATTTTCTATTGTTTTATTGTCAGAATTCAGAATATTTCGCCTTTTTATTTCATATTATTTCATGTATTATTAAACTGAGTTTGTTAGAGTTTTCGTTTTTAGATGTTTTTTAAATAAAAGATTAAATCTATATATACATAGATTTTTATTGTTGTTCCGTTTTGGCAGTTGAACAGATTAATATCAAAAAAGTACATTTCTTCCAGAAAAATCAAGTAGTTAGCTTGAAAACTTGATTTTCAAGTTACTTGATGTGTAACTACTTGACTTGACTTGAATTTCAAAAACAAATACTTGACTTGATCTTGACTTGATATCAAGTCAAGTCAAGTCAAGTAGCTTGAAAATCAAGTCAATTCGTGAATCTCTAATGCCCACGTATAAGCATTCAACGTGTCCTCAAATGGTGAAGAGAGTTATTTGACGCCCGCATGGACATCCACGATGAACAACGAGGAGAGGCCGTCGATCTCCGAGGAACTTATGGCGAAGATTGTGCGGTGCAAAGCATGTCTTATAACAGACGAAAGATTAACTCGAGCGATTAGGCTGAGAAGTCATTGCCCACCCCCTTTACAACCCTGACATAGAGTTTCCAAAATATAAGGAGCACCCAGGCGGTCAACGTTTCGAGACAGACGATGAGTTGCAAGGAGCAGTTAGCAACTTTCCAAGCGAGCTAACGGCGGACTTCTTTGAGGCGTAGAAAAAATGGCGACTATGTAGAAAAATAGCTTGAAGATCAACGTTTCCAATCGTAAACTCGTTTTTTCAAATAAAAAATTCCGTGTACCGTGGGAACCTTATTTTTGAGACAACCCTCGAACGTAGGTTAAGTAAAGGCGATAATATCTTTATTGTAGGGATCGGCCGATACCGATATGTATATCGGCATATTGGTAATATCGGCCTATTTTATGAATTATAAAGTCGATACTCAGTGAAGTTAGGAGTGTTACACCCAGAAAAAACAATTTGGCATAATTAATTTTGGCAATATATGACTATATTTAAAGCATGCTGTGGCAACAAGGGCAACGCTTCACCTTTGTTTTTGCTTATCTTTGTTAAAATGTTATCTCTTAGTTTTTGTGAAGAAAGCACTCTCTGAGAGCTGAGTAGTGCAGATATTTTTAGTTATTGCCCTTTGATTTGCTAGTGTTAAGCATAACAAAATGCCACGAGTTCGAAGACCTCCAAATTATCACCATGTTAGCGTCTTTTACAAGGGTAGAATTATTGCCTATCGAGATGTTGGTTTGTCCTATCGCGAAATTGGCCGCCGTGTTAATTGTACTACAATGACGGTGATTCGTGTGTGTCGTGTGTGGATAGAAGACTACGCGTCAGGTCGCTGACCAATGATTTGGAAGGTAGACCTGTTACTATGCGTACACTCTATCGCCACATTCAAGCATTTGGACTTTTTTCATACCGTCCACGGTTAGTGCTTCCTCTGACTGCGGACCACTGTCGTTAACGTTTGAACTGGAGCAGAGAACGGAAACACTAGGAGGCAGAATGGCATAATGTCATCTTCAGCGACGATTCGCGATTCTGTGGTAATGTCGCTGAGTATATCTGCCTCTGATATATCGGTATCGGCCGCTTATTGTTATATTTAACCTAAACCTATGTCGGTTAAGCTCGAGCTATTTTTATCTTGTGTAAAATATGAAAAATAATGCTTTACGTAACTATCATCAACGTTAAAACAGGTAAAAACAGGAAACAGCAAATACAGTTAGGTCCTTTGTGCTATGATTTGAACCTACCTTCCAATCTTTCCGAAAATCTACTGTCGGGTCATTCATTATTCGCTGTACTAATAACTGGATGAACGTAAACATATCTGATGAAAAGGCAGCTGGCTCAGCAAAGTTTAGTCCAGCTGCTTTTTCGATATATAATGAGGTTCCTGTTGCATAACCAGAGAGTTGAGGATTGAACTCCTTCAAAATGTTTGGCAGTGTCAACCTTGTCCTCCAAGTGTCAGCTCCACCTAAAAATCAAATAATTTTGTATAGGCAACACATGTGTTTCCACAGGTTGACGGTAATAGGAACGTAGTGAGAAACCAAATGTTAACTTGCTTCAGCGTTTGCTCTCTATGAGCACTGTGAGCGCCCATCTATGAAGGAATGACTCAACGGCACGACACACTCAGTGACCATGCTGCAAGCTGCAAGTCAGTTCCCCATCATGCTTCGTTGGTTGCAGAATGTCGAGATAGTCTGTAAAGTAGACTCTGAGATGTGTGGTTGAGTAGCAGAGTAGCAAGATCATATATGGATGTGTGTGTGTTTTAGCTTATCGGGTCGTTGAGTCCTTCCTCCACAGATAGACGCTCACAGCGCTCATACGAGGGATGTCTTTTAAGTTTTGCATATAGAAACATAGTCGGCCGCGCGGATCGAACGTCAGTACTGAATCTTAACCTCACTTTTAGTAAACTTAAATTAAAAGTTTCACAACAATACGTGCAGTGCTCTCACAACTTTCAGAGACAATTATCGCAACAAGAATGCCTTGCTGAGTTACCATCTGTTTTCGGCAACGAAGCGCCACATCAGTTGACAATTTCCCGTTGGCATGGAGAATTCAAACGTGGGCGGGTGAGTCTTAGTGACGATCCCAGGATGGGTGCACCAAAAATGGCAGTCACCCAGGAAAACGTCGATGCTGTGCGCAAACTCATCATTGAAGATAGACATGTGCCATATCGCGAGATTGAGGCGTCCTTGAAGAACTCAAAGACCTCAATTCAAAAAAATTTACATGAAGAATTAGGAGTAAGAAAATTAGTTTCTCGTTGGATACCCCACCTGTCGACTGAAGAGCAGAAAGCAGCCAGGGTTAATTGGTGGCAAAAAACGCTTGACCGTTTACATTCCGGAAACTCAAAAAATGTGTACAGCATTGTTAGTGGTGATGAATCGTGGATTTATTGTTATGAACCAGAAAATAAACGACAGTCGGCTGTTTGGGTGTTCCAAGGTGAAGAAAAGCCAACAAAAGTCATCCGTTCTCGAAGTGTTTCGAAAAAGATGGTCGCGACATTTGTGTCAAAAGCGAGTTATATTGCAACAATTCCTCTTAATGAGCAAAGAACTGTTACTGCGGATTGGTATACCACCATTTGTTTGCCAAAAGTCTTCACCGAGCTTCGAAAAATCAACCACGAAAGACAATGCAAGCTCGCACACAGCCCAACAAACAAGCCAGTATTTAACGGAAGAAAACGTGGAATTATTGGACCATCCTCCATATAGTCCCGATCTAAGTCCTAACGATTTCTGTACTTTCCCGAAAATTAAAAACAGACTGTGTGGGCAAAGGTTCCAGTCACCAGAAGAAGCAGTTGACGCATTCAAAAATGCCGTTTTGGATCTGCCAGCAAACGAGTGGAATAGATGCTTAGAAAATTGGTTCGAGCCGATGCAGATATGTATTAGTCTTCGTGGAGAATACTTCGAAAAACAATAAAGTCATTTAAAACTACCTACCGTGTTGTTTTATTTTCATATTCAAAACTTAAAAGACGCGAACAAACGCTGACTGTTCTAATTGCACACCAGGAACCGCAAGTTGACATTTTATCGTTTTTTTTTTTGGCAGTTTTGAAGTTTTTCACGTAATAGCGCTGCAAGTCCTAAGATACAGGCCGTCGATTACAATCCGCCGTTTCGATTTTATAGTAGTTGTTCTTATCCTTTGTCCGCGAGTATGTTTTGAGATGATCAGCTCAAACTTCGTTGACCATTTTCAAATATTCATGACCTTAAAACTGAATAATGACCGTCATTACCTCCGGCAAAAGATGCACCGCGCTCTTCAGCTGGCAATTCCAGTAGGTTAGTCGCAGAAACGCTAGTTCCAGCTGTTAAACTGTCACCGATAACTCCAATTAGGTCTATATCACCAGGTCTGAGTTTGTGTACACTTTGAGGGACCTTTTCGCTTCTAGGGGTTGAAAATTTACAAGGAAATTCCAAGTTTTCAGACAGTTCTGGCTTTGGGAGGTTCTGAAACAGAAATATATGCTTCACTTAGAAACGTTAGTAAATATGAATGAAGACTTTCCTCTCGAAATCAAGAACACTGAGAAAAAAATGGATTAACCAATTAAAAACTGTCTTTAACTATTTGATGGCTAACAGTTTTAAGAATAGCAACATTGTCTCTGAAATAACCATAAATAACAAAATAATTAATCGCGGATGGATATTTTATTCTATTAAAGGTTATTACCGCATCGAAAGAGGCATTTACGATGTATCCTAGAAAGGTTCCGATATTTGTTAGATAGTAAAATCTTAGTTTTACATAGACTTTAGTTAACGATAAAATAATAATTCCCATCTTTAAATAGATTTATCACCAAAAAAAGCAATTTTAAATTCCTTCCGATCTTGCATCCAGCATCACCGAAGCAAATGTGTAGCGAATACAGGAGCTTCAACACGTTATTAACATTAAGGTGGGATATCTCGGCTATTTTTATTATTATTATTATTGTTATTATTTTAATCACTTCTTATTTATCAGTAGACCTGAAACTTGTAAAAGTATGCTCAAAATTACAGGGCTCCTAGTCGGTGGTGCATTTTCTATGTCATTTGGTATAATTAAAGACGGTGCTTCTAATATAAGGTAAGTATATATTTCATAGTTTTATCATTTTCTGCATATCAAGTTTTATCAAAATGTTTTATTGTTGGATTCCAATAACGTTCAGCTATATTTGAGCAATGTTTGAATACTTCAGATTGTATTTGAAGGTTATCTTTTGATCGGTCTCTTGGAATTTTGCTTGTGTAAAACGATCCCTGGAATCATATTACCCCATTTGCAAGGGCGGATCGAGAATTTCGTCTAGGGGGGGGGGGTGCGCAAGCGATAGTTGGGGCTGGTCATTTCTTAACCTGAGTGGAACTTCTAGAATTTATCCTATTATTGTTCCTTAAGTCCATTGTGTTCTATCTGGTCAATGCCAGCTTGAAAAAAAAAATATGGAAAATGCTTAGAAATCCTCAGAAAGCCAATATTATATTATATGAGATCAAAATAAGTACGTGACATTTATAATTAACTACTGTAATAATATTAAAGATTCAAACAAAAAACTTGATTGCTGTGTTAATCGAAAATAAATAAATAAAACATTCTGAGGGACCCCGACACATATCCCAGTCCATTCCACACAAAACAATGTCTTAGATTGCGAAAATGAACATGAAACCAAAAAAAAATCACATTATCGTATGGTCGCTAGATAAGAAAAAGAAGGATGTCTATAGACCATCTATAGATAGTGTCTTGAGACCGTCTCCAGACTGAATACAGACAAATTGCGCAACGGGGTCTACTAGTATGTAGGTACTAAGCTTAAGGATCATGACTCTGAACTGCCCATTAAACAAATCAAGTAGATGGTGTAAATACTGACACAATTAAGCACTTCTATTATATCAGCATGTGATAAAAATATCAATAGATATAGCCAATTATTATTTTTTTTATACCGAAGCAGCCGCGCAGGCAGAAGCCTAAATGCCGGAACACCACGGCTGCTATGATGATCCCAAAGTATTTTGTTAACCCGAGGTTAGTAGAACTGGGAAAAGTTCCCTCTTGTAGATTTTTTTCACAATCTCGACACCGTCAGCACAAAGGAACGGTCGTATCAGCCAGTTCTGGATGTACGAAGTTCGACACGGTTGGGATGGGGGGTATCATGGAAGAGAGCTCTGGGTAGCAAAGCGCGTTGGTGTAGCGGTAGAAGAGCGCTAGATCGCCGGTGTGAAAGGGTCCCGAGACTGTCTGTTAGAAAAGAGTCATCGATCAGTCGCAGAACTTGGGAAGCTAGGTTGGTTAATCGGTGCGGACTCTCAGATTTTTGTCTCCGCCAACAAAAGCATGGCGGGATGATTGGATTGCAAGTAGCGATGAACAGCATCAATGTTGCTGTTAATCCCACAGATGTTCGTGAAACAAATTTTATCTTAGATGTTGTTACCTCGAGTCCACACTCCACCCAGACACTCCGAGAATGAAGTGAGTTTACGTACAGAATTCTTAGTACTTGAGGATCCAGCATCATTAATTTCTTTGTTTTGGAAGATAACCGACTGCATAGCTTAGGTTTGGAAACATGCGGACATTTATAAGACACCATGGGAGGTGGGTACCACCTCGGTCGACTGGTCGTCGTCTACCACCTTCTTTTTGCGCGTTAGTGATATTAAATAGACCTAAAGTGGCCCGTTGGCGGACTTATACCACCACCCGGCAATCGGTACTGATTTCTTAACGCGTGTACAATCACTTGAACGGGAAGAAGTTGTATGCTGGATACAACAACTCCCGGAACAAGCATTTGCCACGGCCCCGCTCAGTAGGGTTTGGGGTTTCTGAAATTCAATATAGATGTTACAGTTATTTTTCAGACTTTTGTTGTCAAGCTTGATCGCATGTAGAAATGTTGGAAATCCTTGGAAAAAACCATATCTATTAGATCGTAATTATTTCGATGTGTGTTTGTTCGAAACAAGTACAGGAATTCAGGGCTGTACATATTCATGTATAGTGCAGCAGCTCTGCGACTTAAACGAATTCAGTATAGCAACATAAATAGACACATCCGCGATAAAGGATGCGGGACGTGTGGTATTGACTTTGAGCAACGATCGACGCAGTTTCTGGACAGGCCACAGGTGCACCGCTAAAGAAATCTCAAATGTCTATTTCCAATTCATCTAACAGTGCTTCGCTGCAACACCAACCCCGAACAAAATCTGCCAAGCTTTACACACTTTTCAAATTACTATTGAGCAACAAACAGAACATGATTCACTTTTTAAGTGCAGTGTGTATAGCTAATATATTACCCAGACTTAGATTTGTCACAAGTCACAATACTCTTATATACGTATAAATCTTAATAATTGTGCTGCAAACACTCGTCAAAATTGGACTGAGGAACAAACGCTAAAGGCTCTAATTGCCGTCAAAGATGGGGTATGCCTCATGAAATCGCAAATAGAGAGAGCAGCGATGAAGAAGATTTTGTACGCGACTTTTGTCTGGTTAATCGTTCTGAAAGTGCGAGAAAAATTGAGGCTGTAGTTTCTTTAAGTTCGACATCACAAGAAGTATAAGTCCACATTTTTTTGTTCAGATGAAAAGTTTATTTCTTGAAATAATTGATTAAATTTGTTAATACCACATAACTTGAAAAGGCATGAAATTTCATTGCTGTTTTTGTTTATTTGGAAAAAGGGTTTATTTGCTTAATTATAATTTGTTAATTTTACTTTTACAAACCTTAAAACGCTTCTTGCAATCATTTAAAGTTTAAATTTGTTGACTTATTAGTAAAAGTATAGGATCTCCGATGTAATTAGATTTAAAATGCTATGTGTAATGCGCTGACAAGCTTTTGTTTCTTTAAGCATTATTGATAATATAAAATATTCTAAGGCATACAGTGATCCATGAGATCAATTAATACGTACACGTGTATATAAAACGATCCTTTACTAAACTTTTCGAAAGTATAACGACACTAATAAACTACATGAACATAATGAGAAATGAGTATGGAGTTACAAAGATAAAAAAATTCACTGATCACAGCAACTTACATCTTGTGTTTGTGTCTTAAACTTTAGCGCTTTAGCGCAGTGAAGTTTTCCTCTTAAGGGGATCATTAAAATGGGCAAACAACTAATTGGTTTAAATGTCTGAAATTGCTGTTTATATTTGTATTTTCAATAAAAAAAATTCCCAATGGATCCGCCCCTGACGCCAAATTTCACTGAACATCGATTAACAAACAAGTTAAAATTGCGTCAAGTAGCTTGACTCAATAATTCTCACGCTGACACCCCGGCATCAAAAAGTGGTAGGTTTTGTTACTAACAGTGCAAAAACAACCAAACGTTGAGGGTATGTTGTGTGATATTTTTCTAATTAATGTAGTACGAAATAAGTAAACTTCTAACTCCCCCTGTTTCAATGGCAAATGCATAACAAATATGTGCAACTATTATTTCTAACAAGTGGTACTATTACTGGAGTTATGTTACTGTCTTTTTACACTTCATTAATTAATATAATAATTCCTTTTTGCTAGCTCATCGCTTTCGGTTTATATTAACGATTTTGTCTCATTTTTCATTCAATCTCAGTCACAGCGAACACACACACTGTAACTCCGGTTCGGTCCATGTAAACTGTTGTTGGAACCAAATAAAGTTTTTTAAAAACGAAGTTTGAAGTTCCGACTACATATTTGGCGCAGCCCGCAGTAGGATTCCCAAAGGGATTTTCGCCGATTAGCCCTTGAGTCCGAACTCTTAATTGGGGATCACGAACCTCCGTGACAAGCCGGTATGAGTGAAGAAAGAAGAAAGTATTTGGACCACAAGTGCCCTTTGTCCTGTTGAAGTCGACGTCCATTTGAGAAACTTGAGCCAAGAATGGGATGAAGTAATGGACCTATCAGTAAGTCCTCATTGTATCCTTATTTTTTCATGAGTGACTCACCCCGACCTGTACATCTTTCTGAAGGTGATAGTGCAGATCAAATCGCCAATTGCTTAGCAAGCTTAGAATTAGGGGGTAGACAAATGAGTCAAGCAAACGAAACTATAGAAAATAATAATGACGACCCCCAGTAGAAATAGTGCCCACCCAGCTCGACAGAAAACTACTCCCAAATTGTCCCAGAATTTGATGAGAATCCATGTAGACTATATAGATACTTAGAAATAAGCACAGAGTTATTAAATAATGATTGGAACATCGACGATACAGGATATGTCCAAAATAAGATACTTCTGCATGGTATTTTGTCGAAATTTGCCCAACTATTGAAATCTTAGTTTTTTTCTTATCAAACACAAATAATAAAAATGTAGCAGGGTGTTATAGATTTAAAATATTAACAATGAATATTTTGATAATATATATATAGTAGAAAACACCAACTTTATCACTCCCTAATCAAATTTACAGCATAAAAATAACAATTACAGTATATCAACCTATTTTCATTTCAATGCAAAATAAGTCTATAACGCATAGGTGGCTGTGAAAAATAAAAGCCATGACAATTGTTTTTATTAATCACAGCTGTCAGAATACGTTTAAAATAGTTTAGGGTAGTTAAGGTATTCAAAATGGGTAGAAGAACGGTTATTAGTGAGAAAATTTGGTTACTGATAATTAAATTTTTTAATTCTGAGAAATCAAACTCAGAAGTTGCAACTTTGTTAGACTTATCGCGGTACAGTATGAGAAATATGGTGAGAAGATATAACGTAACTGGTTCAGTTAATATTAAGCCAGGATATGTGAAAAAAAGTAATATCACAAATGCCGACCGAAGAGCATTAAGAATAATAATTTCGAGGTCCTCAACTCATAGAGAGGCCCACAAACTGGGATTTAGCACTTGCAAGGTAAGTTTTCTTATAAAAAAAGTTAAGTAAAAACCTTAAAGTTGCAAAACTTGTTTATAGGCCAAAGAAAGGCCACTATTAACTCCACTGCAAAAGAAAAATCGGCTTAGATGGGCTAAAGAACATAGACAATGGACACCTCAACAATGGTGTGCAATACAATGGAGTGATGAGGCCAGATTCGAAGTTTGTGTTGGTGACAGTCGTAGTAGAGTTAATCGCAAAAAAAAGAAACATTCCATGTTGACTGTCTGAAGAGAAAAGTGAAATTTCCAGCATCCATTATGGTCTGGGGCAGTATGTCATCACAAGGAGTAGGAAAACTTCATTTTATTGATGGAAATGTGGATACAAACAAATATTTGGCAATTTTAGAAGAATCGCTTTTACCAGTGATGGAAGAGTGTTTGACATCCGGCCAAGATTTTGTGTTTCAGCAAGATGGTGCAGCGTGCCATACCTCAAAAAAGGCTATAAAATGGATGGAAGAAAATAATGTACCCCTTTTGAAATGGGTTTCTAGCAGTCCAGATCTGTTACCTATTGAAACTTTGTGACACGAGATGAAAAAGGTTCTACGACAATATCCTGCTCGTACAATCACCGAACTGAGACAAAGGTTTCGAGAAATATGGGATTGTTTTACACCCAATTTTTGCCAAAACTTGGTTAACACTATGCCCCAAAGAATTTCAGCCATAATAAAAAATAAAGGTGATGTTACCCAATGGCAATCTTTCAATTGTTGCTTTGTTAACTTCGCGCATTTATTCGCACATTGTTTATTTGTTCAGATGTTCCATTAGTTATAGGTCTAAGTGATTTCAAATATCTATTTTTTACGACTAGAGTGTTTCTAAAATGTTTTTGAGAAAATAAATTGTTTTAGAGGTAAATAGTTTCGTCATGTTTAGTTTATAAAGGCATATTTTGGTACAAATCTTGAAATGGGCCAACTGAATATAAATATTCATGAAACAGTTGACGCTATTAAAACCAGCGAAAAGGCAATGTATGATAGTCATGCATTGCAAGCTTATATTTTAGAAGGTAATAACATTAGGTATTAATTTACAAAAGGCTGGTGCACATTCAAATTTCAATAAGCCACCTCAGCCTGCCCTTTCACCGAAACCACACTTTCCAAATTTTTTGAGGCCTCAAATGCAACCTATAAATCAATTTAGGCCTCAGAAAAATTTTAAATATTTATCAGTTTCAATTCCCAAGAGGACCAATTCCGATTCAACCTAGACAAAATCCTCTTCCACAAAGATATCCAACAAATGCACAAGTTTTTGGCAATGGATCTATTGTTAATGTTTGGAGTAATCTGCCTAATCAAGGACCTTCCTACAGGCCTACTCCTATGAGAGATGTTAGTAGCATCAATAAAAAAATCCCAGCCTTCTGGCACAAGAAGCTTTGCTTCTCAATGATTACATAACGTTGAGAGTAATCCTTATGATCAAAATCTTGGAAATAACCCTTACGATGACTAGTATTACTCGGAATATTGGCAGTATACTGAAAATCAGTATGACTGTTCTGATCAATATTACGAAAACCCTGATGAGACGCAAGCGAGGTATCTGAAATTGGACGGAAGCCTTATGAGGAAAAACAAAATTTTCAGATGGCCGTGCCTATGATGAAGGAGACATAAAAGACTTAAACACGATTTATGACAAAACAGAATTACCTTATATTAAAATTAAAAATCTGCTCTTAAAGCTTCTTGTGCATACTGGTGCAACGAAATCATTTTTAAATCCTGACCCTGCACATTTGCATTTTCGAAAACGTATTTACCAAGAACCACAGTAACCAAAGTAACTTCAGTTTTTCAGCATTCGGAGAAAAACTTCTGTGCTAAAATTCTTGCCTTTTCAGAATTCAATGTTGGTGAGCCTATAAAATTTAATTTGTTCAAATTTCACAAGTATTTTGGTGGTCTGATTGGTATAGATATTGTGAAATGTCTAAATTCACATATTGACCTTAAAAATTCTATTTTGTATACCAAAAACGCGAAAATTCCAATTAAGTTTCATGATTTGAAAAATCGTTTGTTATGTTTCATAGAAATTGAGCCCTATATGGCGGTCCAAGCCAAAATTCCTGTCGATACTGATAACGGAGAAATTTTGATTCCAAATTCCAAAATTAGAGACTGTGTCATAAAGAAAAGGCTTACTTATGCTGTAAACGGTTATGGCCTGGTTGACCTAGAAAATCCTAGTAACACTTATCAAGAAATTTCTTTGTATGAGCGTATTGTTTCATTTCCGTTCGATGCAAACAATTACGAATTATTTCATGCTATCATTAAACCATCTGAATCAGCTTCACCGGAAACAGAAAATCCAAAGGAAATCAAGTTAGTACATATTCCTTTAGATAAACTTCATCACTTGCAAGAAGGAGCCGACCAAATCCAGATGGATCTCCCCGATACATTGGAGCACCCCGACAAATGGAGTCTACCTCCGTATGCAATTACGTATGTATATTGCATGAATTCTTGAGAAGAAGTATTAGCAGAGAAGAAAAGGATCAAGAAGAAACCAGCACTTAGAAGAAATCCAGAATCAACCCCAGAGGGCAGAAGTTTTGTTCGCGCCCTACAAAACTTCATCTTACGGGTGGAGGCGCTATGTTACTGCCTTTTCACACTTTATTAATTAATATAAGAATTACAGTGTATTCCTTTTTGCTAGCTCATCACTTTTGGTTTATATTAACGATTTTATCTCATTTTTCGGGTCAGTCATTCAATCTCAGTCACAACGAACACATTCCGGTTCGGTCCATGTACATTATTGTTGGAACCAAATATATTTTTTTTTGAAGTTCCGGCAACATATTTCTGGGATCAGAAGCTTCTTAATAGTAGAATATCGTCCACTAATAGCCGAAGATCCAGCACTTCAACCGAATCGAGTCCGTAATAATACTACCTTCATCCATTTGACCGGTTGGTGTATAGCTGTTTCATGCTTGCTGGCAATCATCGCCATGGTCAAGGTGGGACGAACGCAGAGCAACCGTATTTTTCATCTGAAGTATATTTCTATTGATTGCCATCGATCTACTTACGTTTCGTTCTGTCGCTTTCCTATTTTCTATAACACTTTTCACAATTTCATTCAGCGTGCGTCGTAAAGGCCAATATATTGGTTCTAGGGCATCATCCAGCCACGATCTGCCAACTTGACAGTTATATTCATTCAAGAAGAAAAACGTAAAACTTATACACAAGTTCTTGACATGCATGTTGGAATTGAAGTTCGCACTAGAAACATCTTTACTCAATGCTTTGATGAACCTTAAATATTATTCACATGGGTATACAGGGTATCCATCTAGATTAACATGATGCGGTTGTCTTTTCGATCTACCTATATTTTCCTTAGCGTAAACTTTTCGAAGCAAGAAGCCTTTCCAATGAAATTCGAAAATAGGTATTCATGGCTTTCAGTTCAACCCTACGTTCACTCATTCAAAATGAAATCATTTCAACATTTCCGGAATTAAAATGGAGTAATATTCTCTACATGGAATTTTTTTGATATCTGAAATCTGTTGTTTGCATCAATTTTTTCACGGGTGAGGCAGTTTTTCGTCGTCTTTTCGCTCCTTGCTGAACAAAAATTTGAAATTATATGTAACCCATTTAAAATCTCTGTATTCCCTGTGATAAAAATAATACAAGGTACTAACGCTAACATTTTAACTGCAAGGTAGTAGATATGAGAAATGGCTGTATAATGAGGGGAAAAACGAGATGAATAATACTTTTGGTATGAATACTTGCTATCATGATGAAACGCTGCAAGAATTGCCATGGTGAGATGCCGAATTCTGGAGAATCTTACACTTCGGTCATCGAAGGTTAATAGAGCGATACTGTGAATCTTTGATACCTAAGAAAGTCTTCCATTTTCTTTTTAAATAGTCATTAATTTAATTTACCCACTAGGTATATAGTTTGATCTGGAGCTTTATGCGCGTGCGCTGACATAGCCTAGGAATCTTGGACATTTGAATGAATATTATGAGTAGGATTGGATTTGATAGTGGGTGATTTTTTTATATGTACTTAGGAAAGATATTTAAGAAGTGTTAGTTCAATTCCACATAACAATTTAATAATATTGTAATATTGTACCACTTAGCCCGTAAAATGTCTATCCACAAAATAAACAATTAAAGCAAAATATACCACTTAAAATGCAGAGGTTTCAACATAAAAGTTATTTAATTGAGTACGATAAATCAAAATTGGATAAAAGTAAAACATTTGACAAACTTATAGAATGATGTTAATGCATATATCATAAGCAGAAGTAAGAGATAAATTTATGTTAATGATTGCTCAAAAATGTTTTCTTTAAACACTTTTTGAAATCCTCGAAATTTACAGTTTTAGTAACGCAGGGTAAATTGTACATAATAGTAGCGTTATAAGTAAAACATTTAGTAAAAAATGAATTTCTGTGAAGAGACATTGCTATTGTATTGGTAAAGCGAATATCTATTTATAGAACCACGAAATTTTAAATTTTAAAAATATATAATCATTTTAATTTTATGAGCGAGGAGATGATCATATGTTTTCAAGTTATTTTGAATTATTTGCATGCGCTTGACGGATGTTGAGTACGAAAACGGATGATAAACAATGCCGCTGTATGTAATTTTTAAAATAATTAATGACACATAGATTTTTTTTAGTTTTTTAATCGATAATTTGTTTGATCAAGTATGATTGCCGAAGTACTTAAAAACAACTTTTTGTAACATTGTTCAGATCAGAAATAAAATTCAGACATTCATTAAGAGATATACCTAGATTTTTTACAGTGACACATAGATACTTTTATAATTTCACCATTTAATAAAAAGTTCGATCATTTCTTATTTGGTTTATAATTTTTTTAGAAGGCAATATCATCCCTTTTTATTTTTCTGAATTAAATACAAGATTATGAAGTTTTGCATACTTGTCGATAGATCTCAAATCTTCATTAATTTGAGTCTCAGCCATTATTATATTGTACGTATTGAAATTATTGTCTAACTGCAAGTCATCCGCAAAAAAACTGAATATTGTAATATTTAAAAACCTTCGTATATACAGGTATATAGAATTAAAAGAAGTGACCTAAGAACCTACCCTTGAGGCACTCCCGATAATATTAAAGACTCAGGAAAAGTGTACATATCGAACTCCTTGTGATCTATTTCTTAAAACGCTATTGATTATAGCAACTGATGATTCAGAGAAACCATAAAAATTACATTTGGCTGTTAAAAGTAAATGGTTGACGGTGTCAATCGCTTTAGAAAAATATAAAAGAATTAAGTAAGTTGTTTGATAGTTATCCCAAGCAAACAATACTGCAGCAGTATTATATCCCTTTCTAAAACCGCACTGTCTAGATGATAGTATATCTACCACACCTCAAAACAAATTCATTTATTTATGTATACATTGCCTTTTCCAATAATTTGGAAAGTATAATGTAAAATGCTAATAGGTCTCAGATGAGTATATACGAGCTAGGATTACTTACTTTGGGCAAAGGTAAAACAAGAGAGCTTTTCCATGATTTAGGAAATATACTTTTTTCCCAAACATTGATTTATGATATGTAATATATGTATTGAAAAAGGGGGAAACTTAATTTAAGCATTTCAAGAGATATTCCGTCAGTTCCGAAAGCATTGGATTTTGAGCAATAAAAAAATGAGCGCAAATCTGTATAATTAATTTATTGGACAGAAACTGAATTTATGGCTACAATAATGATTATTTCCATAGAAAGCATTTTTTTCTGAACATGTATGAATGTTGTAGTTGAAAACAAAACAATTTGATATACAAGTATTACACTTATAATGAAAGCCTAGCTTCCTACCTACTGAATTTGATCCTTGTTTGCCACTATTACCCTGTATACCTACATAAAAGTTAATTTCTAGTGACGTTCATGATGAAGTACAATTACAGTAAACTTAGATGTACTATAAATTAGCGTTTACATCTTTTTTTGGTACAAAATGCATATGTTCCATTCAAAATGCATTAACAATGTAAATACATTTTTTATCATTTACCTTGATGTGTTATTGTTAGCAGTCATCAATTTTCTGATATGGATACAACTATATCTTACAATTAACAATTTGATTAATAGAGTGCCTCATTGTGTATATAATGGAATTAGTGAAGTACATAAAATTTTAAAATTTTAAAAACCAGAGTTCCGGAAATGAACAATTTTGTTGTGCCTTGTCTTTCTTAATCTTACGGTCCTTCCGGATTTTATGAAATAAGGCTGACTGAAGTAGGAATTATCACAAATTCTTGTGGGTTGGGTTAAAGCAGTCTCTTCATATTTCTCAAGGATTGAGCTTTATTTGGAAATACAACATCTCAAACTTATACTGTGCTTTTCATGCTGATGATTATCCATGTTTTCATGTCGTTACTTGAAACCACATCTGTGGGCTTGAAATTTTAGTAACAATTCGGCCACCACAGAAGCTTTTCACGAGGTACAGAGAAATTATATAATGTATATTGTATACTGAGGTGGCCAAAACGTTAGTAAAACCTAGATATGTGGATTCACTTAAGGGTCAGAAAACATGGAGTATTATTGGCAGTGTACAATGACCGCTGAGTGCCACTACCTCATTCCTATACCAAGGAAAATAGAGGGTGTTCAAAAATGGACGGAAGATGATTCCTTGTTAAAAAAATATGAAAATATTTACTTGATTCTGATGGCAATATTGTTTGTTGTATTAAGAGGCCCTAAATAGATTGAAATTATTAGATCCAGTGGCATTCCAGGGGGCATCTTAGGGAATATTATTAGCAAAAAAATGTACGCCGCTGTCTTTTTTTGTAACTTCAATATTTGTTGTTTGATTAAATACGATACAAGTTTTTTGTCTCTCGTATTTTTTCCGAATCTCACTTCGTTTTCGAGAACAAAATGTTTTATTGAATGTCACTGGACAAAATTGGTTTATTAATTTTTTATTTGTTTATATATGGATAAAAAAAATTAAATACATCACCCTGTATCTTGAAAGCTTTGCATTTCCGGAGCCATGTCTCAAGAAACTTTTTTTCATGCTTTTTCCACAAAGGAATCGCCCTATAAAATATCTCCGTCTATTTTTCGAACACCCTGTACAACGGGCATCCTGGTAAGCTAAGTGAGGCTACATAAAATCCCAAAACCAAATTGTTAATTAGAGACTTTTTAGTTGTTTGGCTGCTTCGTTATGAATTTCAATTTTGTGCAGTAGTGAGATAATCATCCGTTATCCGTTATCAGAGTAAGAAAGCACCGTTAGTAACAGAGAATGAGAATTGGCTTATTCCGTGAGGTTATTTTTTCCTTATTTGCCAGAATTCGTAAATCTAGGTAATCTTAATTAAGGTAATTTCAAGTTATAAAACACATTGGTAAAATATAATAGAAATATGGGTTTATATCACAGATAAAAATAAATACTAAAATTGGCAGTGCCCTGAATGTCAATACATGATTGTCTTGGTTGAGACATTTATTTTACCTGCTTGCAGAACTCGTCAAATGAAGTTGATATACCAAAAATCACCTATATAAAAGTTACATAATAAGAGAGTTAGCTTACATTATTCAAAATTATTTAAAAAGACTCATTACCAAGTTAACTGGATACCGTTTTAACAAAAACTGTTCAAAATTGCTCCAATTTGTCCGATGTACGCAAAGTCTTGCTCGGTGAATCCACGACAAGCTTTTAAAATAAAATCCTGGCGTCCACGAATTAAATCACAAGCTTCCAGAGTATTTACTGCTCCATCGTGATACACCAACTCTTTCAAATAGCCTTACAGAAGAAAATCGCAAGGCGTTAAATCCGGGGAGCGAGCAGGCCAAGAAATGGGTCCATTGCGTTCTATTCATCTATTCGCAAACTCATTATTTAGATGTTCATGACTTCTCGTCTAAAATGTCTGTCGCACATTTAGAGGAACATCTTCTAATAATTGTGGCAGATCTCAATAAATTGCAGCGGTCAGTCGAGCTGGAAAAAAGTAGGGTCCAATAAGCATGTCACTTACCACGCCAGCACAAACATTTAATAAAAATCGATGTTGAAAATGAGTCCTTTTTACAGCGTGCGGATTTTCTACTGTCCAAATATGATTGTTGTGGTAATTGGGCAGTCCATTTCGTGTAAATGTGGCCTCATCTGTACACAAAATCAATTTCGTAAAATCTTCATTCC